GGCCATGCCACCATGGTGTTGTTTAACTGCCTGAGTGACCTCACCCCCAGTAATGCTTAGGTCATCCCCAGACTCTGCTTCCCTAACCCTATCCCACTGAGACATCTTAATCCTACGGAAGATGTCTCAGTGGGATTAAGGAGGTCCTCCGAGTATTCCAACCCCCGACAATATCATCAGTTGAAGTCAGCAGCACTTCACCCGCGCTGTACACATTGTCGGTAGAGCACCGCTTTCCAAAGTTGTTTTTCCATGGCTTCACCAAACTCCCACCTGAATTTTTGTTGCAGCCATTGTGTGGCTTGGTCTGCCAGTGTCACGGTCTGCGGGGCAGACCATGGAGGTGTGGGGAAGATAGGACCCAAAACGCAGGACTCACCGCAATGGTGCGTTTATTTACAGTGTAGGAGAAATGACAATAAATCCCCGTGTGCTCCCTTGACTCCCGTGCAGTGTCTTCTCCCAAAATCCGTGTCTTGGTGCTCTCCGCTCCCATGTTTTCGCAATCCCCGTGCTCGCTGCCCTCCTGTTTCCACGCTCCTCCTGGGGGAAAGAATACCAGAGGCAGCCGTCAAGAAACATGCTCTTGCAGGTATGCACACACTGATTTAAACCTTAGTCAAGACACTGACGTGAGGTCTTACGCAACAATCCAGCGTCGAGGAGCGCTCAGCCAAACTGTTAAATAGCTCCCCGACGAGACTTGATTGACTTCAGGTGTGGCCATGCTCCTGACTGTCACGCCCACCAGGGCTGAAGAACAGGTGCTCTGCCACACCCACCTACACACAAACATAAGGAAACAGAGGACAGAAGCACCAAAAATACACATGTCCATGCTTATTCACAGACCGTGGGTCCTTCAGACCCAGGTCCGTGACAGTCAGTACCCATCGGCTGCCTCCAATGTCCCAAAGGCTTATCAAGCTCAATAGGAGTCCTCCTTTCACCTCCAGTGTCCAGCAGCTGGTTCGGGGGTTACTACCACGACAAGCACCAACCACCTTGCAGCCACAGTTCAGTGCAGCAGCCTCAGTCCATTTGGACTCAATGTCTCCAGTCTCACTGGGAATATTGTTGAAGCTCTGCTAGAAGTGAGAGTTGTACACCGGGACCTCTGTTAGGTGCTCCCAGTGTACCCTCACTATACAAGTTGGGGCACCAGGTCTGTCCAGCATACTCCCCCTGCCACCTGATCCCAAAGACAGGACTCCAAGAAGCCCGAGTACTCTGAACTATTGTTTGGCGCATAAGTGCAGACGGCAGTCAAGACCCGTTCCCTGATCCAGAGGCGCAGGGAACAAACCTTTTCGTTCTCTGGGAAAACCCCAATGTACAGGCAAGGCGAGGGGATGCCAGGATACCCACCCCAGCTTGCTGCTTCTCACCAAGGGCAAGTCCATGCTGGGGCCGAGTTCAGCCCTGCTTCTGGAGACTGGTTCCAGAGCCAAAGCTGTGCATTGAAGTAAACTCGACTTGAATTGAAGTACCTCTCAATGTCACGCAATAGCTCAGGCTCCTTCCCCATCAGACGGGTGACGTCCCCATTTCCAGCCTCGGTAGCCAGGAATCAATCCTCCAGGGTCCCTGCCCTTGGTTGCTGCTTGACACACAATACACCCAACCTCTACGGGGCCTCCTGCTTTTTGCCTGTTAGAAAATATTACAACCGTTCGATCATAAAGAATCAAACAATAAATGACAGTTTAAGAAACTGGTCTTCAGTAACTATAGTTTTTTTTTTTTCATCTTAAAAATCAATATTGGTCAGTAAAGGGGGAAATCATCCAGTATAATATAAAGTGAACAGAAGAGTCTGTTGTGTTGTACTGTGGTAAGTTTGGATCTGTTGACAGAGTGCACATGGCCACTAACCATAACCACTTCTCACTCTGCAGGCATGACACTACACTTTAACTTGTTTGGCTGTGCGGTAAACTGAGCATGTGACAGTAATGGGTAGCACCTTTACCCACCCACCTCTCTGCTACCTTAGAGGACTGGCTTCATCCTGTCAGAGCACAGGCTTATGTTTGTCAGTGCTAATTGGTTTAGGTGTTTCTAATGCTAAGAAGTGACCTTCATCCGCTCACTTACTAAATTTATCCCTCTGTTACTTTGAAATAACAACAGAGAAATCTTGTCAACATTCAGGTTTATTGGACTGGACATTTAGTTTTAGATGTCTTTAATTTAAGAATACTGTTTGTTTGTGTCCAGTTGAAGTTGTGTACCGGTCAGTTTCACATGTTGACAGCCCCTAAAACATCAGCCAGAACCTCGGTGTGACCACTCTGTCCCGCCAGAGGCCTTTACTATCAGTTCTTACCGGGGTATATCACCATGATAACGTGCTGCAATCCTCATCTTCCCTGGAGCAAGCTGTGTTCCAGGTTAGAGATCAACAGGCATGAAATCACTGCCTACTGACTAGTGAAGTCTACGGAAAATAGCATCACCATTCCTGGAAGATCCCTCACACCTCTGCAAACTGAGTAGTCTGAGGTTTTCTGATTTAAGTCACCTTAAAACTACATGATTGTGTCCTTTGCTCATATTGCAAGAATCTAAAAGAAGAGCTTGTTTTTGAAGGGTTTTTTTCCCACTAGGGCAGGTCAATATTTCCAAAAATATTTATCACGATATATTTGAAAATTTGCCATAACGATATAACTGATGATATAATTGACACGAGACAAAATACTTTACAACTCCACAACTTTATTAGTGCGAAAAAACCATCAATGTATTTTCACTTAAACAAGCAGCTGTATTATGTGCATTAAAGTTATATAAAAGTTTAACAGTGCAAATTCTTTGCTGACAGTTTAACCAAAAGGCATTTCCAGTGGAAACTGGCCGACATATCCTCAGCATAACCATGTATAACATCCACAAAACTTAAAAAGAGGTTAAACACACAATACGGTAATATTATGTTGAAGCACCGTACGTATCACTCCGCGAGGCTCCGCCTACGATAGCTGTAATGCTCCGACAATCCATCAAGCGGTGCGGCTTCGTAGCTGAGGAAAGTCGTACTGAAACATTTGACAGATTTTCGAGCGCCGTGTACATAAAATCGTTTCTGTAATAACGACGGCCCGCTAGCATGCGCTACCAAAAATAGTGCTTTGTTGTGTATCTGACTGACGAAAGCTAAACCAGTTCCACAAGTGAAGCTGCATTTTTACAAACCAGTTCTGGTTCATCGTTTCATTCAAAGATCCACTTTCGCTCTTCTCATTCGCCGTCGCCGCCATGCTTTTTCCGCCATGTGCGTATGAAAGCAAAGGCTCTGCACATGCCCGTTTTACCCATATTCTATTGTGATATTTCATTTTCTTATCATTGCCTAACGTTATACCGGTATTACCGTGAACGATATGATATGGCCCAGCCCCATTTCCCACCATCTTCCTGTATCCTCAGCAGTGACCCTCTGCATGCCCTCGTTGACTCTTCCGCTGGACGAGGAATTGATCTTGTTGTGGGTTTAACTGACAGTCTAACTGCTTTTGTTTTACAGAGGAGACACATATACAGTACACTTATGAAATTCCCAAATGACCTACAGTCACCAAGCTGAATGTTTCCCTTCTCTTTTTTCAGGATGGTGGAAGGATAACAGTCAAGGAGTTGCACTCCCTCCACCCAAAGTGACCTGTGTTCTCCTTTTGTCCACTTTCACCTGCAGCTGCAAGCTTGCTGACCTGACCTTATGGGATTTCATAGACTGCGTGTATTCCACAGTAACATCATATAAATTCCTTTTAAATTAGACATTCTTATAGCAGACACCCTCCTGACTGAAGGACAGAATGAAATAAGTACAGAGTGGTGGGATATTAACTCCCTGCACATCCAAAATAGTCACCTTGGTCTGTAGGATTCATACTGGTATCGCTTGTTCCTTGTCAACCCCACCCCTTTTCTAGTGTTATTGGGCCATGGTTCGCAAGAAAAGCTCTTTTATACTATGCGGTGCTTTCCTGTTTGTCGCCTGGAATGCTTTGCTTCTACTTTACCTTTGGGGTCGCCCTCCCATGGGCCACCTAGGAGAAGGCGGTGGAGCTGAACCAGGAGGAAAGGAGGAGTGGGGCATGGTCAGAGGTAAAGGAGGTCAAGTTAACCTTGCTGGGGAGGTCATCCGACTGGCCGAGGAGGTTGAAATTCAACTTGACACCCAGAAAAAGCTATTAAAGCAAATTGAAAGTCACAGGGCAGTGTGGGCTCGGCAGAAGGAGATTGGGAAGAAGCAAACTGATAATATCAAAGAAGTAAATCCGATTGTTGACCAGCAGCAGAATAATCCAGTTCCTCTCATAAATGATGTGTATGTCGGGGACCAAGGTGAAATAAAACACACACAGAGGTCTGTTGCTACAGTAGCTGCAGGCTCCAATATAGAGCGGCATCAGACCACTGATGGAAAGGAAGAGGTTGCTGAGGACGATAAAGTAACAGCTTCTGTTTCTGGTCCACAAGTCGTCATTCCCATTCTGGTTATTGCCTGTGACAGAGTGACAGTAAAGCGGAGTCTTGACAAACTCATACAGTACCGCCCTTCTCAAGAACTGTATCCAATCATCGTCAGCCAAGACTGCGGCCATGCTGAGACGGCTCGTGTGATTGGCTCATACGGAGAAAAAGT